CGCGAAGAGTCTGTCCGCCGCAATGATGCCAAATGGTCAAAAACAAGCTCAATCTGATGTTCCACATCATACGGCGGGCTGTCTTTACTGAACGGCTCGTGGCTGTCATCTCTAAACCCAAACAGATCGCGACCGTGGACGTGAATGTGACCATCGGCCCAGCCGATGCGGGCCTTGAGCGCATCGAAGAAGTCGGTGTAGTAATCGGCGAGCCCTGGGTTGCCGGGAATGAAGAAAAAGAGGCCGTGTCCCGCCGCCATTGTCTGTGTTCGCGTGTGTGTAAGAGTGTCTTTCTTTTTTTTTTCTTGCGCTTTGGTGAAGCCGTCTTGCAACACAGCACGGCCCGCACAGATTCTGTCGGCTCTGTGCCGAGAGTTGACGTCGTCTAAAGTCGAGAAGCCCGGCAACGAGAGGCGGAACTTTTGGAAAGGAGGTTGAAGGACGGGAGATCCACCTCGGCAATGAATCGCGAAATTGGTGGGCAGTTTCCACTCGTTGCATTAGTGTCGGAGATAATGCGCCGTCGGCGTTTATCTCACTATGTGCTCGACAGTACGTACCTCGATTCTCGTGATGGCTTCATTTCGCCGAGCACTGGTGATGTAACGATTGCACACCCCGTACTTTGTTGAACATAATTCACTTGAGATTTATTCTTGTCCATGGTCGCCTGTATTCTACTTATAGTCGCTGGAACCTGAGGGATCGCACCAAACGTATTGAAGGCATGCTTCTCCCGCGTGTGCCCAGAGAGATGTGTACCTAATTATACCCACGCCGTACATCATGTCTTAACAGAAAGATCTTCTCTTCGAATTCAATCAGCCGCATCAGAACTTAAACCGGAAACTGGGATGCATCCATCCAAGTCTAAACTCGTGCTCTTCTGCCGATTGGCCGTCCCTTTGACTCTCGTCTAGTCGAAAATCGCGCTGGCCTCGCGACCGTTTCTCGTTCTCCCGCTTCATATACAGGGGCAAAACTATTCCTATCACCAATAACACAACCAGGCAGCCAAAGTTGATGAAGTGCCCTTTGAGATATCTGAGAAATGACAGAGTCAGTGAACGGACACGCGCAAGAGTATCCATGGGGGCAACCTACCTGGGCGCTTCATCTTTAATGTAGGTGAAGGAAGCGAGAAAGGCAGCCGAGTTTCCGATTGACAGTAAGAAACCCAAAGCAACGGCACGGACATAGTGCGGTGATGCATTGATACTCATCCATGTGAGCGCCAGAGGAGGTGTTGCGTTGACTGACATGGCGACGAAAAATGAGCCAGCGTACTGAACCTTGATATTCATGTAGAACGGTGCCGGACCGATGTGGGCCCCAACGATCATCAGGATGTATCCGAAAATGCCGGTCATACTGCACACATTCAAGGGCAGCGCAGTCTTTCCAGACCGACGACTCCAGAAGGAGATGCCAATAGTGAAGATCAACGCCGCAAAGTTGGGGGGAGCTGTCATCAACGATGCCTGCAGCTTTTTGTATCCCATGGCAGATATAATCGTCGGGAAGAACATGGAAAAGCTGTAGATGGCCTGGATAGAGCAGAAGCTTCCGAGAGCCATCAGAATGGTGATGACATTAAGGATTGCCCCTGAAATAGTTTTCCATGTAAGAGGATCCTTCTTATTCTGGAGCCTCGATATACCACCCTGTCGATCATCTGATGCTGATTCTTGGTCGGACAGGCGAGGATTGCCGAGATAGTGCCATTGATCTTGACATTGCATTCTCGTAACAGCCAGAGCCCTTTCAGTCGGCGAGAGAAATTTGGCGCCAGCAGGTGTGTGTGGCAAGATAAAAAGCAGCAGGAGGCCCAGCAAGACGGTCAAGGCCCCTTCAATGAAGAAAATCCAAGGCCACCCGTCATAGCCGCGGACCTTAATCTGTCCAAGTCCAGCAGCCATCAAGCCACCGAGAAACCCAGCAAGGGCGGTACTCGAGTAGAACAAGCCCACACGAAGAATGAGCTCATCGGCAGTGTAAAAGAAGCCAAGGTATATCAGAACACCACCAAGGAAAGAGCTTTCGGTTAAGCCAAGGAAAGCGCGCGTAATGCAGAGGCCGACGAAGTTGGTGATGAAACCGCTGAGAGTGGTAACTATCCCCCATGAGATGATCAAGAGCGGCAGCCATATGGCACCTCCGACACGGCGTACGGCTAGGTTTCCTGGTATGTTGAACAGTATGTTGAGGATGAAGAACATTGCCAGAGCTGCATTGAATTGGTTGCCAACCAGCTTGAGGTCTCGCTCGAGTCCATTGATACGAGCGAGAGCAATGTTGCTCTTGTCGAGGAAGAAGAGAAGATGTGCAAGGAACATAGAAGGTACCAGCCTGTGATCGAACTTGCGGACGAGGCTCGATCGGATCTTCTCTTTCTGCGCAGCGTTTCTTGGGGAGATGGAATCGGTATTAGTGTCGCTTGTTGTTTGTCCGATAGCATCACCGCACTTCTCCTCATAAGAACCGGTAGCATCAAGACCAGCTCCATCAATTTTGCCATCTCTGCTCAAGTCATGGTCTGCCGGCGAACATTTGCTGTCGTTTGAGATTCCAGAACCTTTCGCCATTTCGAAAGACAATTATTTACGTGAAGGGAGAAATTGATTGAGAGATGGTTCATAATTTGGGCTGTTTGCTAGTGACAAGTCTAGAAACTTGAGCTTGAGGGGTAGCCTCCAACTCGAAACTGAAGCGACTCCACGGCCTTGATAATGAATGGGGATAATTGCTCCGAGGTTAGTGACACAACTCACCCGAGAGGAAAGACTGGTCGGGATGTGCCACTGGCGCTCCTTTTCACCAACACAGAATGGTCCTCAACAGTATTGGCATTTCGACACGGCCAATCAGGTCTGTTGGCCACAGCCGCGATTCTTCTCTCATTGTCTGGATACGACCTACCACATGGCCTTGTTACCTACTTGGCGCATCTAGGCATCAAGGATAAAGTAAACACCTTCACTTCTTGATCTGCTTGAACAAGGGAGTAACCGAAGCAAATTGATTGTTGCGACAACAAACACGCAGGCATCCCTTTCTGCATCCCCCGTCAATCACGGTATCATATCTGCGATCTAGGCAACTTAAACACTATGGGGCTGCGCGATAATGACACCAATAGAAATGACTTTCTCTCGCCACATTTCGCTCCTTTGTTGGTCAACACACGGGTCGACGCATGTCCGAGGCGATGCAGTGATCAAGAGCCAATATTTGTGCGACAATCTGGGAAGCCACAATCGGGTCACTGCCTTAGCTTGTGTAACACATCTATCTGTTTTTTTGGTTGACTACCCCTGGTTTTCCTGAGATACACGGTACTCTCTAAATGATGTGCAAATGAAGTGATCATTGAATTTATGAGGAATTGTTGATGATTATACATCATCTTGTATGATAATCACACCAGATAGAGTAAGGCAAGAATATGACGCAGGCTGGACAAATCAATTCTGCTTGATTGACCTCTTTGTTTGTGGTACATCTTCATTCACCATCAAGTGTGGTTAGAATGAGTACCTCATGTTACAAAAATGCTTCCATGATTCACCGCCGTTTCGACAGGGCGTCCGAGACTTCACCTTTGTTGGTCTCACGGAGAAGAGATGCCTCTACTTGGCACAGTTTCTGGTTGGTCGTTTTCGCAGAACCCCAGCACGAGAATCGATATTTCGAAAACAGCATCCAAGACTGTCTCTACTTCATGCAATCTTCTAGGCTTTTCTACAATCCTTGATGGGCGCCGGGCACCCGTGCTGGCTTCATCGGAAGCGACACCAATTCTCGCCTTAAAATTGAGTTAGGAAACGTCACACGACCAACTGGTGATCCCGCGATCATGGCAGCTGTCTTGAAATTTGAGATCATTCTTGTTCTCGAACGATTGCGAGGACGATCGCCAGAGACCAGAGATCGTGGCAACCTATTCCTATGCCCGTCCTGCAATGCGAAGCGCTCCGCATCAGCAAACTTGAATGCAACAAGGCTCGTAGATTGCCATTGTCACGCCAGGTAAGCCAGCAGCCGCTACGATTTACCGATATCCAGGGTGTTCATCAAGATCAAATTATTGCCTAGACCTTTCTTGATTGTCGTTGTTCATGATGGACACCATTTTCAACTCTAAATCTTGACGAAGTCTCTCATTCCGACAGAATCACTTTCCTATATTCCTTAATCTTCGAATTTTCTCTGTTGAAATGTAATCTTGAATATACTTCTTTTACTCGGTATTCTGCTTGGTAAATAGTTGACGAGATGAAGTCGATGCGAGATTCAAAGCAACCAGAATCGAGAGTGGTTTCGCTGGTTTCATTCTCCACGCGGTGAATCGAAACTCCTATCTTATCACCATCATCCTCGATCTCGTAGAGATCACTGTACTGTCATTACATAACAATGTTCCAGATCACTTACTACGTTTCTTACAGTCGTCATTGGCTCCGTGTTCTCGCTCAAACTTTCGGGGCCTTATGGGTCGGAATGGGAGTAGAGGCTTCGGTTTCGCAAAACGACGCCGCAACTTGGCTTCTCCAGTGACTCGGCCCAGTGGAGCAAGTCCGATCGCCTCTTGTATCTTAGCTAAGACTGGGCCGAGTCAACTTTGAAATGGGTGTGTTTAACACCGTCAGCGAATCATCGGCAAGGAAAACCGCCTCCTCTCCTCGCCTGCGTGTGTTAGTCAGGAATGTTTCCGACCAATACTCCGCTAGCGCTGCGCGTCTGACTCCGAGAAAGGAACCTTGGAACCCTGGAACCCCAGATCCTCCGGATAATCATCGGCGGAAGCCCCCCCGCCCAGTTCTCGTTCAAGCGAAGTCACCAGACCACTCTCGACAACCCTTTTGTTATCATGGAAGCTGTTCTTCTTTCCAACGAGTTCAATTAATGGTTCTCGTCCGGCGTTCTTTAAAAGCCAATCCGTTTGTACACAGAGTTTAGAGAATCAGGTTGCGCTGGTGACTGGCCAACACCCCTTCAAGATGTCGCAAACCGTCACCGAGGCGCGGTCCGAGGCGCAGCACCAGAAAACCTTCACTTCGGAACCCTATGAGCTCGGCAGACTGAGCTCCAGCGGTCGCGCACTTGGGACTGCCTCACCGAAGAAAGATGGACCCGAAGAACATCAATCGTTGGATGCGCCCGACGACACTCCTCCAACAAATGCTCATGGACCTATCGAACGATGGAATTCGCCAAGGGGTAACATGGGAAGACTAGGCTTTGCTTTCTTCTCGTTTGCCATTGCCGGTATGAACGACGCAGCAGTCGGTGTAAGTGGTCGTTGATATGCCGATAATTTGTAGATAAGTAGTCACTAACATAACACCATCCTTCAGGCTTTGATTCCCTACGTACGTTAGCCTCCTATGCGCTCTAAATGTTAGAGAATCTGTAGTGGACTTGACATTCTAATTCTTTTCCAGCTTGAGACCTACTACGAACTCAGCTACACTATCGTCTCGTTAATCTTTCTGACTCCCTTCGCCGGTTACTCGGTCGCAGCATTCACCAACGCTAGGATTCATCAGAAGTTTGGTCAAAGAGGCGTGGCCATCATGGCCCCTCTCTGCCACATCATCACATACGTCGTCCTGGCTTTGCATCCTCCTTACCCAGCACTTATCGTGGCCAATATGATCAGCGGATTCGGCAATGGACTGACTGATGCGTGCTTTTGCGCCTGGGTTGGCGCCATGGACAAGGCAAACACAATTCAGGGATTTCTGCACTCTTTCTATTCCGTTGGAGCTCTCGTGTCTCCACTGATCGCTACGTCGATGGTGGTTACTGCCAAGCTGCCTTGGTACAACTACTACTATGTAATGGTGGGTCGAGCGTCACTTGGCCGGCGCCGTTGGTAATAAATACATGTACTAACAACTCGTAGGTCGGTGCATCTGTCCTCGAACTGGTCGGCCTCACTGTCACCTTCTGGCAAAAGACCGGCGCTATGTATCGCGCGGAGCACGCGCACGAGAACGAGGGTAACGGGGGTGCGGGTACCAGAATCGCACTCAAATCCAAAGTTACCTGGCTTTGTTCCATCTTCTTCTTTGCGTACATGGGTGTCGAAGGTAGGACGTCATATCGGTATGGTGTTTGAAAGGTGCTAACTCGACTTCTTAGTTGGTCTCGGAGGCTGGATCGTAACATTCATGTTACGCGTTCGAAAGGCATCCGCCTATGCGTCTGGTATTTCTGCGACTGGATTCTGGGCAGGCCAGGCCCTGGGACGTGCTACCTTGGGCTTCGTGACAGAGCGTTATGGAGAAAGGCTTTGCATCAGCATTTACATCGCCATCTGCCTCGCCCTCCAGCTTCTCTTCTGGCTTGTTCCCCAGTTCATCGTTTCAGCCATTGCGGTGGCTTTCCTCGGGTTCTTCCTGGGGCCGATGTTCCCTGGAGCAGTCATGATGACAGCCAAGCTACTCCCGAAGCACATCCATGTCAGCGCTATTGGCTTTGCCATGGCTATTGGTGGTACTGGTGGAACGGTTTTTCCGTTCATCATTGGCGCGATTGCGACAAGTAAGGGTGTTGCTGTACTCCAGCCGATTGTCCTGTCGCTGATTGCAGTCGTGGCTATCGTGTGGCTTTGCTTCCCTCGCATCAAGAAGCGGGATGAGAACATTATGTCTGGTCTATAAAAAAGAGGTATAACAAGGCGCTGTCCTTGATTGTACAATTGCCCACGTAATTTGTTGCCGAGCCATAGATGTAGGTAGATGAAAGATAGAGCTCATCGATCATTCCACCATAGACACACTGCAGTGGGAATCAATTTGGGAGAGAAGCCTCTGCTCAGTTTAAAGAGTAAACCGCACACTTATATACAATGCCTCCAAATAACCCAGCTCTGGCAAACGGTCGGACCCCATATTTACACAACAGGGGCGTATATCAACAGACCAGCAGCGTTGCGCATATACACTGAGTCAAGTATGTACAAAGAAATATCATTTCATCCCACCATACCATAATTACGACATCCAAACCGGCTGATGATCCAATTACAACTTTTGGCCAGCAGCGCCGGGGACGGAACCAGCAACCTTGCCGGAGCCGAGGGCGGCAATCTTGTAAGGCAACGAGGCAGAGGTGAGGGTTCCCTTGGGAACGGAGTTCTTGGAGCCACCGAGGTCGACGTCCTCAGCGACGGCGTATCCGGTCTCCTTGGAGTCAGCGAAGAAGATGGCTTCGGCGGGGCAGCTGTTAAAGGCCGTGCTCTGGACAAGGACCTGGGCGCCCATGCGGGAGTTGATACCGGTGAGCAGGAGCTTGTCGTAGTATGAGTTGACGACGTGGACGGTACCGAAGCGGACGAGAGGAGTACGGGAGTTGATGTTGGTCCAGTGGTTGTTGGCATAGGTGACGTGAAGCTTGCCCTTGTCCTCGCTGCCGTTGCTGTCAGAGTGACCGACCAGGGATCCCTTCCACTGTATTATCGTTGTTAGTTTGGAACTTGTTGAGAACCAAGAGACAGAAGCCAAGATCATAACAGGACTTACGTGGTCGTGGAAGTAGACGTTGGAGACCGTGATCCAGTCAGCACCGTGGGAGATGTCGAGGAGACCATCGAGGTCATCCTTGCCTCCGCTCAAGTCACCAGAAAGGTCGCAGTGGTCAACCCAGACGTTGGTGGACTCATCGATACCAATGGCATCACCATTGCTAGCCTTGACACCGCCGATCTTCAGGTTGCGGATAATGACGTTCTTGACCTGGCGGACGTACAGACCAACGTTGTTGAGGGCTACAGAGATATTGACCTTAGTATAACAGTGCGTAAGAGGCGGTAATTGTAACCTTCACGATACTTACAGCTGCCCTTCTCTCCGATGATGGTCTTGTCAGAAGAAACGCGGACCTTGGCGCTGCCAGAGATGGCACCGGAGATGACTATGGTAAGGGGACCCTCCTTCTTAGCGGCAGCAACGAGCTCATCGACAGTCTTGACGGTAACACTGGAGCCGCCGGCACCACCGGTGGTACCTCCGCCTTGGGTGCAGTAGCCGATGTTGCAAGCCTCGGCGGCCTGGCGGAGAGCAAGCTCGTTGCGGGCGGTGACGATGTTGGCAGGCGAAGCCGCGGCCAGAGCAGCCATGAAGGTGACAGCTAGAAACTTCATCTTGGTGGTGTTGAGTATCTTAGGTAAATAGGCTGGGTAAGGAATCGGTTCGGATGAAATAATGGGTAAATGTCGTGAAGCGGGTGACTAGCACTACCGAAGTTGATGGAATGGGATGAACAGGAAAGAGAATGAAAGACTTGAAAGGCGCGATGGAGAGAAAGAAGAACTGTTGGTCCGACCTATCGACGGTTGAGTCTTATATATAAAATACAAGCGCCGGATTCCGTTTCTCGTTTAAAGTGAGGTAAGATGGCGCCATTGGTGGTTGTGGGAACTTGCAAGAAGGCCAGTCCGCGGCTCCACGTTGACAACTGCATTGCTGGGCGTTTCCAACTGAGCGCATCCCTTGAGCTCATCGAGACCCTTATTTATTTCGCCTTCTGTGTAGTACAAGATGATCTTACAAACATGACAGGGCATGGGAGGGACTAGACGAGGATTCCGTCGATAAAGACGCCTTGGCCGAAGGATACAGCAAGAGGTGATTGGCCTCTAGCGCGGCCGTTACATTGACATGAACGACGCAAGTAAGGAAGACCGATGTCTTGGCCCGTCCCATGACGGCCAGGGTACCAAAACCAGAGAACTGGGCGCGACTTCATTTCCTAAAAGAACGTGAGAGAATGGCTCCTGTCCGATATTGCCCGTCTTCTGGTATGGCCTGGTGTGGTTGGGGAGTGCAGGGGTTGCGAATAGGCTCATTCGGCTGTTGCTGGCAGGGCCTAGCTGAACCCACCGAGGGCAGAAGACCGAGCCAGTGCCCCCCCAGCTGGGCAGCCGTCCGCAGTAACGCTGAAGGTGTGACCCTGCGCTAGAGTTGTACAGCTGCTATGTTTCGGATCAGCAGGGTGAGTGGCTTTTGCGCGCGGCACCCCAGAGATAGATGAACGCCAAGATGCTGTCTAAATGAACGAGGACTGGTCGTTGGAGGAATAACTCAAAGCAGAGCGTCGCCGTGTGCAGAGCGGATGGCGCCGCCTATCTAAGAAGATGCGCTGCTGATCTGATGGGGGTTATTGTCATGATGAGTGTGGGGATGACCCCTGGCCTGGTTGCTCATAGCGAGTTGCCAACGAGTTGATGACCGGCTCCCATCTCTTTACACCTTTTACCTCACGTTGAAAGCCCATCTTACGGCGAGTTCTCAACTATAGAGGAACACAGATGCGAAACGAAACTTCTATATCTTACTTCCTTGTAACTTCCCGGCACTTTGCGATCACTTCGCAGCGAACTTTATCACTCTCAGACAGTATGCCCGTCATGATGCAAGAAGTGAGGGGGGCGGTCATTGACCTGTGCATCTACCCGCAACCTTGGCATGTTGCACTATTGAAAAGGGGGATTAGCTGCCAAGAATGCGAATATTGGCATTCTGCACTGCCAAACTCTGCTTTCCAATCATCGTGCAGTTCAACTGCCTACTCCACCATTTTCTCACTTCTTACCAAGCACGAGAACAGAAGACAATAGCGGCCTTGTGTTGCCCATTCAAGGCGGGCGTATCCCGTGGCCTCCTCCTCGCCTCTCACGAGTCATCGATGCACCAACGTACTCAATCCAACTGAGCCGTTAGCGCCAAGACGTCTATATCGAACCAACCTTGGCATTCTACAACGCAGGAGATTGGAACCTGAACATCAAACGGCTCGTATTCGATCGGCAGAAATCCACAATCAAGGGGAGAACGTCTTGCTCTCAAGAGAAAGGAGAGAGCAAGATCCGCTAGTTCAAGAACTCAGCTGGTAGCTACGTCTAGCCAGACGTATGTCGGGGGAAGATTGTTGTCAACGAATACAATTCAAGGTCGGTTGCGATGTCTGGCCAGACCCAGCAGGTCAGCACTCCCTCTAACCTTTCAACGACTCCATAGCGTCATGTATGCCTTCTGTACTAACCAATGCCGAAAAGGTTAGCACCTGCGGTGATACCATTTTGTCTTAGGATCTCTTTGCATAGCGACGGCTACCGGAATCCTTCTCGATATCGACCGACGGTTGCATCTTGCCGAACTCTTCAGATCGCCCGGGTCATGTGGCAATCTTCGCCATTGACTTATTTTGCACGAATGAAACTGTTTCCTCCGTCTCCGAATGACCATACGGAAAAGCCACCGACATGCCTTGAAGAAGAAGGTGGGTTGATCAAAGCTAACATTACATCCATCTAAGGATTCCACTCCACTGTAAGCGATTTCCGGTTAGATTCAATTTGCTGCATTGATTCGACTCAGGCACAGTATCCGCATTGAGCGAGGAAGGAAAGGTGACCTCGGACGAAGAATCAAGACCATCAATGACGACCTCAATAGCTATTTTTGTGTTCTTGATCTGCATCTCGAGAGATATTAGATGATCATCAGAAACGAAATCGGCGCTTCGCTCAGCCTCGTATTGCTATGAGCTTCGAATCAGTTGCCAGTCTGCTAATAGGTTGAGCAATTGTCAGCGCGCAGACTGAACAGCATTCAGGATGCTTGCCACACTTTTAAGGGCTTATGTCTGGAAGCATAATACGTCTCGGAATCTTGGTATTCTTTGTTACTTGACGCATGTGTCTCGCTACATATCTTCGTGGGTTTTGCTAACGGCTCGTCGCTTTAGATACTTCCAGAGGTGTTTTTCCGAGCATCCACTGGTCTTCAGTTGACTATCGATACAACTCCCCCATCTCTCCGATAGTCGAGCAGCCTGATTTGAGAACGTTTTGATGCTATGGCCCAAGTTCTCGTCCATCATCCATAGGTACTGGCAGCACACGTATGAGTGGCCTAACAGGACATAGAACGGAGTCATCCCATGCTAACCAGTGGTCTGCTCGGTCGTCCGGTACTATGAGACATCAAGGCCTCTACCTAAACATTCCCTCTTCTTTTCCCGTCAACTCTCATGCAATGGTTGGCAACGACCTATTTTCTTTCGGTCTAATTACCTCTGCGTGTCAAATTCGCATTTTATCACCACACAAACCCCTTTCGGATAAAGATGAGGCAGAGAAATGTTTACGATCTGGTTGCCTGGTCATGAGAGACCAAGAAATAAAGCACTAGAACAAGAGTCCACCACCTGCATATGCGTCCTCTGTTCTCTAATCCTACCACTCTCTCGATGCCCTTTACGGCAGCAAATATCCCACAAGCGCATCATTCAGTATACCACCAAGCGGGTGTCATATCGGTCTAGGCGGCCGAGCTCAGCCTCATCTTAGATACCTACCCCGAAGTCGACATTGATAGCGACCTGGGTTATCGCAAAGTAGTAAGTTCAAGCTCCAGCGCCGCTAGTAGGTGTTCGCCTTGCTAGATACGGCTGTGGGGAGACGCTTCCTTCACCGAGAATCCCTACTCAACCTTTTAGTGCCAAGGTTACGTGACCTTCACGTCACAATGCAGTGTCCCTCGGATGTAATGAAGAGTCAGGAGCACAAGAGTGCGCTTGGTCTCAACTCTCGAGTTGGTCTTCTCTTTCGTCGGTACAAAAGTCCATCGTAATTTAAGGTTATCGGGGCTTCTAGCGTTGGCGATGGTTGTAGATAACGTAGGGAGCGGACGACATAAAATGCGGGGTCGGTCCGGCGCCGGTCACGGGTTTCACGGGTTGAATCGGCTGACCCCTGCTTCCCCTCACATCGCCGTCGGCATATCATGACGAAAGAAAGATAAGAATGCTGTTGGTATATCACTCTTGTTCTTTCCACGGCTTCCTTACGTCTCAATACACCTCTCAAGTTTCTCTGCCTTTGTTTTGAGAGAGTACGGCTATAGACCCATTTCACTTTGAACCTCATTCCTCTCAATCAAACATGTCTGATATCAAGAAGTACCAGCTTGGAGACTTCGCCCTTCAAAGTGGTGGCTCATTGCCAGGAGCATGGATCGCATATAAGACATTTGGCGACCCATCCCTTCCAGCGGTTGTCTATCCTACCTGGTACTCCGGCGCTATTGCGGACAACGAATGGCTAGTGGGAGACGACAAGACCTTGAACCCGAAAGACTATTTCATCATCATTCCGGCCCTGTTCGGCAACGGACAGTCCGTCAGCCCTTCCAACTCAGACATCAATCCATTTCCCGACGTGTCTTTCTTCGATAACGTGAAGGCGCAATACGAATTGGTTACCAAGGAACTCAAGATCACCCATCTCAGAGCCGTTCTAGGATGGTCTATGGGCGCGGCTCAATCTTTCCAATGGGCGACGCAATATCCCGACTTCTTGGATATCGCAGTCCCATTTTGTGGCGCCGCGAAGTGCGCCCTACACAATCAAGTTTTCTTGGAGGGCGTCAAGTCGGCGCTTCTCGCGGCAAAGAAGACCAGCTCAGCCGGCAGTACATTAGGACGCATTGCATCAACCGGGGACAAGTCTGCCAGGGTCTGGTCAGACGAGGAGAAGCAAGTTGGCCTGAAAGCTTTTGGTCGCGGGTACGCCGGATGGGGCTTTTCCCAAGCATTTTACCGACATGAGCTGCACAAAAAGTTTTACGGAGCCAAGGATCTCGAGGACTTCATGCAATCGTTTTGGGAGAAGTGGGCTCTTAGCAAGGACCCGGAGAACTTGCTTGTCATGATTCACACGTGGCAAAGTGCCGATGTGAGCAATCAAGAGCCATACAATGGCGATTTCAAGAAGGCCATGGCGAGCATCAAGGCTAAAACTTTGGTGCTGCCCTCCAAGACTGATCTCTACTTTCCGTAAGAATCTCGCTCTAAATACCGCCATGACTAACACTGACAGTTGCAGGCCCGAGGACTCTGAGTATGAGGTCGAGTGTATGAGTGAAGGCGTCGGTGAACTGGCTGTTTACCCTTCCATTTGGGGCCATTGGGCTGGAGGGCCCCCGGGGAACTTTGAAGATGTCAAGTGGCTAGACGACAAGCTGAAGAACATCTTCGCTATAGCGCCAAAGAGGAGTTAAAGAGGTCCAGGAGTTGATTGCGAAATATGCGGGGCATGGCGTCGTGACCAAATTGTGTCTTTTCGCTAAAAGCAATAGTTAATTTGTGCACTTTACCAGGAAAGAAGACACCGCCTCTTCCTAAGTCCTATGCCGGTGTGCTATTTCAACTTTCTACTAATGAGATGTTATGTTACTGTAAGCACCAAGAAGACATTCAATCTCTCACTTTCTGAGGTCTCTACACACTGGACCTTCCTGCCATTGTCCCTTTACTTTCGTAGGGCTGGCTGAACGGTGATACCCTCAAACTTCTGCCGAATCTCTGTAGTTACGCCAGACATATCGCAGAGATCTTTATCATGCACCATGTCCGAGCGGGGCACCCAACTTCCATGTATGCCATTGCGTAGCCGGAAAGGTAGTTCAATTATTGCCACAGGGCCTGATTCAATATCTTTGGCGTCGAGGATCAAAATGCAGGACAGTCTGACATCTCGTCTGTTCGCGATGGTCACAAGAAAGCCGTCTCCTTCCGCAGCTTTGAAAATGTTAGTGAACCCAGCACTCGTCTGATGTTTGTTGCTCAATGGAATACTTACCCTCCGGGGACCTTGGTAAGAAAGCTACCTCATGTAGGGAAGTATGTTCCCCCGCAGACCAGTGATCATACTTCCCGGTGTTGATATCTGCAGCTGCAATGGTGTTGTAAGTCCCACCGACAGGACTGTACTTGGCCTTTGGATCATGAACGCAAAGGAACAGTTTGCTGTACGCTTTGGTTGCGAATCTTTCATCAACCTTGGGCATTTCGCCATCGAGGGCGACGAGCTCGGTCGGCTCAACTTGGAAGGTTGTTGCGTTGGGATCGAGCTTCCAGCGCACATAGCTACTAGCAGGTTGTCCCACCGCTGCTTTACCGCTTGGGTGAGAGAATGGGTCTTCGCCTCGTGGACTAAAGAACCAAAACTAGTGCACGAGTTAGAGAATGCTTTTAGGAGATAGTCCTACAGAATGCGCACCTTGTTATGGTGGGTAAGGGGCGCGTCGAGGTAAACACATCCGTCTTCGCCTTCGAACGCGTTTCCGGTGTGTCCGTAGGAGGCGTTCTTGAAGTTGAACCACCGAACATCTTCAGGTTTAGGGTTTCGCCGCGGCAGAAGACCAAAGGTCAGGGTCTTGTCCTCAGCCCATGCGAAATGCTTCGATCCTTGCTGTAGTATTTCAACTGGCTGTGTCTCAAGTGGAATGAGTACGAATACGATCCAATTCTTGGTCGCTGCCATATCGTGCATCATTCCCACATACGGCGTCTTAATCCAACATTCTTCGAGCTTCTCCCCGTTCTTATCGAAGAGATAGTATGCAACATCATTTGTCGCATCGCCTTTAGCTTCATAGCCCATGGTGATCAGCTCTCCATTGTCAGGGTCAATTTTCGGATGCGCGGTAAAAGTTGGAGCTGAGTACTGCCCATGAAAGTCGTACAATCCTTCAGCTTTGAATTAGTTGCATGTAGAGAACAGGCATGCATTGGTCAGTTGAGTGACGATACCTTACCTCTGGTTTCAAGGGAGTCCGGGTCCATTGCGTACGGCCTAGAGTCTTCTTTCAATGCCAGTAGCTGGTTTTCGAAATACACAATATGAGTGTTCGCAGTGGAGTGAACCTCATGCTTCACTCTTGGGTCGTCTGAGTAGCGGTTTCGATATTTGCCAAAGACTGACTGCCTCGCTGCCCTCTCAATGTTAAACTTGGCAGTGCGCACATACTTCTGCTTGAAGTCGGCGTGACCGTTCCTGATTCGAACTGCATCTATGGCGCCATCCCCGTTGATGAAAACATCGTCTTCGTAAAGAGGGGCCCAAGACCAGTCGGGCATGCAACGGTAGTATGTTCCGTCTATCTCTTGTGGGATTGAACCGCGGACAATGCAATTATAGACTTCCGCTTCGAAACGGCAAGGTGCTTCTGGCCCATCAAAGAATGGCGTTGGAGGGAAGTTCGTCTCCTGCTGTGCCTTGAGAGACCTCGAACAGTCAGAAAGGTTAGGCATGTTGCTATCTTGATTTGTTTAAACCTTGGGGATGCCCATTGGATTCGTCCGTCTTTCGATGAATAGTTATACTACCAGATGACTTATTCGGGTAGCCCGGCATTATCTCAATAAACGTCTTCGGTTTTACTACGCTACTTCTGGTAACCGAGACCGACTACGAGTAGTTGCAATCGAAACACCATGATCATCATTGAAAAGTACAGTAATCGATTCCCAGGTTTTTCCTCCTTGACGCTCCAAACTCTGTATCATCTGCCGAACAGTGACGCTGCCACACTTTCCAACGGCGACCGCTATGCGGAGATGGCGGGGGCGGAGACCGAGAAGGGATTGAACTGCCGGTCGACCAGGGATGCTAGGTCAAGTACAAAGGGTTCAGTGATTGGTGGCCTAGGACGGAGACCGACCTCAAGGTTTCGGCTCTGGCCGTGCGTTCATTCAGTATGCTTACCAGGTAGGACGGAGGACCGTATAAATCGAGTGTATTGACCTGGATACAAGGTAGTCATTGACAAAAGTAAGAACTCAACAACTACAGCAAACTCTAGTCGCGAGCTCGCAGGGTCGCTGTCCTTGAACTAAGACTTGCAAACACACTACCAAGTGCCAGTCAATACCAAAGTCCAACCGAAAGTGGTCATGACTTCCAGCAAGGACTACGTTTTCAAGGAGGTTGGCAATACGTTGATTGAGGCAACGGCTCACTGGAAGCCAACAAAGAGTAAGGAGCCAAAGGGGCTTGGTAAGTCTTTAATCGATCGTGTCGACTACCTTGTGACTGAATGTTCCCAGCTCTGGCTCTCCATGGAGGAGGTTTCGTGATAGGATCCAGACATGCGTTGCCAGAGGTTGAAGTTGGGTATCTTGCCGACGCAAACTTTGTTGTCGTATCAGCCGACTATCGACTTTGCCCACAAGTTCCCTTACACGACGTGATGGAAGACGCTATCGACGTTTTCTCTTGGTGCAAGACGGAGCTTCCGCAAAAGTTCGAAGCGGACACTGGCTTTAGGATTGACGCACGAAAGGCGGTGGTTTTCGGGCAATCTGCTGGAGCACTCTTAGCTTTACACTTGGTGAGTTACCAATGCTTCCGGTCCCAGTTTGATACCCAAAACTCAACATCTCATGAATAGGGTGCTCTGGCGGAACCTCCCCGGGCGATTCTTGACTTTTATGGCGTCAAGTACGTCAGCTAGAGGGCAGCCGACCGGCTCGACGCGTTGTTGTACTCATGCTGGCAATGACGGAATCGTTTCAAATCGAGGCACGTCTGCGATTGAGATGATTCCGATTGCCCAGCGAGGAAGCCATCATCACCAGACCACGGTATCACATAGAACGCAAAGGGCAGGCCAGGAGCCTTGGAGCCATGAGCATGGTCATACTCAGAGGCAACACTTGAATGCTGTGGGGATCTGTGCTAGCCTGTGGTCCCGACGTTGTAACCGTAATAGCACGGCCCATTTGGAGTGATGTTAGGCACGAAACATTGGAATATGCCGGCTAGATCAGACTTCCTTCATCGTAGGGACTGTAGAACTCATTATTGATGCATAAGCTTCATATTCTGTATGACTCGTGTTGGAAAGCGTCATGATCTCGAAACATCACGGGTGAAAGGGGAGCGGCATGGCGACGGAGGGCGGACAATAGGGTACAAACAGAATCTAGGGGAGAGAGACCCACAGCGGTCACCGCTCTCCGTCCCATGCCGCATTCTTTGAGTTCGGCAGTCGAACACGGTCTCCGCGCTGGACACACCCATCGGTGACTGTGGATCCTCGATCCTTGTACTCAGGCGCTATCGGCGATCTGGGAAGTACTCACTTCTGTCTGCGAGGATATGAAAGACTTGTAACGAGAAATGATAAATTACCGTATTACGGAGAAGAGAACATGTTGTGTCTTTATTGCCACGCTTCGAATCGTTGCAGAGGAGTCAACAAATCAGTGAGCACAATTCCAAATGAGCCATGGAGACTCAGAACGCGACGGTCAATTGGCACTATTCCAGTCCCCAAGTCGCTGCCATCATCTCTGCAATCTTATGTTTGGTATATCAAACTGACATCAATATGCCTCCAAACATTGGACTCTAGACTGACTCTAGTAGCTGGCGATCCCTCTCATTTACAATGTGATCTTCCACCCTCTGGCCCGAGTCCCGGGGCCTTTCTTGGCCAAGTTCAACGACTTCTGGCACGCATACCAACTATACACAAATATGAGACATGAGACGCTCTGTAAACTTCATGATAAATACGGTAATCACTACAATCTGCTGCTCTCAATGGTATTAGCTAACATGGATGGCTAGGTCCTTTGGTGCGCTTGGGCCCGAGCACTGTCTCTGTGAACACCACAGAAGGATTCCAAAAGGTTTACTCGGCGACATCACCAATCGACAAGTCGCCATTCTATCAGAGCTTCACCCCAGGTTTCCAAAGTAGTTTCTCTTCGATGGGTCATGCGTACAAAGAGAAGAAGTCTATTCTCTCTCAAGCATTTGCTCAGAAGAAGCTAGACGCCATGGAACCAGCATTCATGGAGCATATTTGGAAGCTTTGCGAGGTGATGAAAAGTCAAGCTAAGGTCAATTTAGATGGTTGTTTATCAGCCTTGACAGTTGACATCCTATCGGACGTTTGTTTCGGCGAAACGTTTGATTTACTTCACAATCCCACAGAGAAGGCGAACATCAGCGATGGTTTAGTGCAGGCAGCAAAATTTGTCTCATTGGTACCAATAAACGCCTTCGATTGTTCCATACTCCAGGCAATTTGACTAAGAGAGTTTTAGGAAGGTACACTCTGGAGATGGCCTTTGTTGCAGCGCCTAATTCGAAAGTTCTCGTACAACCATACGACGCGGGGCTATCCAGCGAAGGTGAGTCTGCCTTCTGTTTCAAGCAACATCGTCAACTGAAATGCGTAGATGGCGATTGGCGCCATGATCAAACAGAGACAGAATCCTTCGGGTAGGCAAGACATATTCAATTACCTACTTACGGCTAAAAGTCCCACCACCGGTACGCCGTTTCCTGATCGTGAGCTGTTCGGTGAAGCGATCGTCATGTTTGTAGCAGGGTCTGATACCACATCTACTGCGCTGTTGACAATATTGTGGCATCTGTTGGCTCATAAAGATGCATATGACAAGGTGGCCTTGGAGGTTAGATCTACAGTCACGACGCGTGATGAATTGAACTACCACAAGATTCAGCACCTACCATATCTAAGAGCTGTGATTGAGGAAGGATTGAGAATCTTCCCACCGAATGCAGGTTTCATTCCGAGACAGGTACTCCAATCCGACGGAGCCTTCGTTCTCCACGGCATACCTCTGCCAGTGGGAGTAAGTCGATATCATCGTCTATCTCAACCTCAAGAGCGTGGACACTGACATCATCCCTTCTCAGACGGAAGTCGGCGTTGCAAACATGGCGATGCATAGGAACCCCAGGTATTTTGAACGACCAAACGACTTCATTCCAGAACGCTGGATCGGCGATGGCCATTCTGCGGTAAAGGATAAATCAGCTTTCTCTCCCTTCTCCAAGGGCCCAAGGGCGTGCCTCGGAAGAACGTAAGGGGTCCCGCTTTAGCTTCTCACAGACCATTGCTAAACTTTGTACCAGAATGGCATACATGGAGATGTCTATAGCTTTGGCAGCAATGTTTTTGGAGATGGACATGGAATTTGAGGATCCCGGTTCTGAGGCAAGACAGGGTTACACAGCGACGGATTCTTTCGTTCTCGTACGACCAAAAGTTAGGATCGTGGTAAAATCTCGCCGCTGAGAGGACGCAGGCAATCTGGAGGGCATTTGAGTCTCTTCTCTCGTGGGAAGCAGCCCCTCTGTTGCGATCTCAGCAAAGCGACAGGGGCTGCAGCAGAAGCCGCTAATGGAAGAAGGCACAGGCCATGAGACATGTTCACAAGAACATGCTGTAGAGACCGATTGGGTTCGAGATCTTGGTTGCAAAGACGAGAGCAATTTAGGCTAAAGGAGTTGATCTCATTCACCCCTGCTAATCTGATCACGGGAATCGGCGAGGCCCCAGCCAGGATGCTCCCATGCATGAGAGTCTTGAATACTTTAGTCACCAGGGATAGCAATGAAGAGAACCATATGGCGATGTAGAACAAAATGGCCTTCTGATAGTAATTATAGGAATATCTTGCCAAGAACCCACGCCAATATCCCACATCAGCCGCCCATCTTGAATAAAGTAGTAAAGAAAATGGTATCTAGTAAGTAAAGAGTGATATCTCCAACGCCAACGTAATCTCTGGGCTTAATAGGCCGTCCATCAATGGTTCAAAGTTTCTTCGTATCAATACAGCACTATTTGTAGAGGGACTGACTCATGAGAAACCCCTTGCCTCAACTTTCTGTGAGGAGACCTGCACAATATCGCACTTAACCTCGATCGGCGCTCCTGGCTGCAGCTCGATCTCGTCATCAGAGACTCTCCTTCCCGCTTCGATTCTTGTTTCGACGACGGCGTGGTGGTTTGGTCTATATCCGCCCAATTCGATAGACTCCTGTTGCCGTGATGGAGACGGCATCTTATCGGTCTGACTGGTGAAATCCGGGCTATCTCTCGAGGCTTGGATGGGCAGCCCTGTCTCGCGGCTCGCATCAGAGTGGCTCAAATCGTAGCTGGCGATGCCATAGAGATCAGCCTTGCTGTCCGCCGAGCCAGTTCGTCGTTTCGAGTAGCGGGCAGAGTAGTGATTCGGGTTGCCAAGTGTACCACCGAGCTCGGGATCGCGGTGGCGTGAGGTACTTTCGGTGTTTTCAGAATAGTCTCCGTTCTTGTGGTATTTCGAGGATTTCGCAATACGGCTCGACAGGGCGGGAATGAATCGAGAGACCAAGGGTCGGAATGTCGGTAGGCAAGCGCAGACGAGTCCACAGCAGAGCTCGCCGATGGACCAACCGGCGGTCTCGACATTTTGCCAAGTGAAGTCTTCTTCGAGCTTGAGGAATCGGATTCGGATGAAGGATATGGTACATGTGCTATTCAAAGATTAGTCGGAGCCCGGAATAGTCGTGTGATCACGGGACAAGACATACAAAAAGCCCAAACAGAAGATACCAAGCAAGACATATTTCTGGCCTCGGGCCAGATTCAGTCTGTGAATAACTGGCAGCGGCAGCACAAATACAATAATGTCGGTGATGATATTGCCTGCTGCGTTGATGTACCATTGGGGGTAGTTCGGGATGCATTTGCCATCAATGGTCTTGTCCCAGAATGCCGGGATAGGGGTACAGATGAAGATCTCGACAAGGATCTGCGAAATGCTCCATGCGCCGACTATTATCATGGCCGCAATGAAGACCTTTTTCATCTTTTGGACGGCCAGGACTCGGTAATATTGAAAAAGGAAGGTCATCTTGATACCAGCCAATGCTGCATTATAGAATACAATGGTCACGTAGAATGTCTTCGAAGTGTTAGTAGGTGTGCGAAATGAATTGTATCAGACATCAACTGACCTTCATGTAGTCTTGAATTTGTTCCGAAGTAAGAAAGTAAACATGATGACCGAGGCCATTTCTGGTGTCTTCAGGTTGTTAGATACCATCTAATGGAGCCGTAGATATATATGACTCACTCAGTGCGACAGCCAAGCCGCATCCAAGAACCAACAGCTACAGAATTGTGGTCAGAATCAGGTTCAAGGGATGGAGAGGACTTTCCAAAACCTACAAAAGCAAAGACGGATGCCCAATCATCCATGCCAAATTGCCGTATCACGAATATTCTGGTGTACACTCGTATTGATACAGCCAAGAAGGCAACTGAAAGCACAAAGCTCGTGACGCCGACGACGATTGGTACCCGCGAGTCGTCCGCGCTCATTCCTGGAGGGACCTCCATGCTGCCTGTGAACTCTCCCTGAACAATGTTGACGGCTATGCTTGGTTGGTAGTGGGTTTAAGAAGCATCGATAGTCCACGAGGACTGGCACGTGGCAATGTGCTTTTTCGTTCCCTTCAACGGCGGCTGATGATGGGGATAGGTGTGGGACGTCGGACGACGAAATGCATGGGAATCTAAACGCCGAGGGATGCTGTCTTTGTATATTGACGAAGACTTGGCTTTGCCAGCCTTGACTGGTCTTAGATCGAAGGGGCACCTATGCGCGGGTGTGGTTCGAGAAAGGGGCAGAAGACAGAGAGGGTGTGAGACATCAACGAGAAGGAGCTGCCCGCAAAGGCTGCTACACTAGCACGCCTCGCACGCTCGAGGGACCCTCAGGTTTTCGATATTCCGTGTCTCATATGGCTTAGACGTGGAGACCACTGTGGGATCGACGAATCTATTTCCAAGGATACTGTCGATTGCCTTTGGGCAGAAAAAGCGCAATGCAGGAGCCGTGCGCGCGGTAGACTGCTCGGAATACAAGAAGACAGCTGGGCGGAACTAGCACAACGGTCGTGGCTTCTTCTCTGATGACACCCTTTGTGCAGTTTTTGTACACTTGCATGACGACCTGACGAATTGGCAAATGGGGAGTGACACCTTGTTTACTAGCGGAAAAGCCGTAGCGTGTAAGCTATGCCGGGACGGCTCCGCGTGTCGTTATGAAGGTTTAGACGAACTAACGGGCCTTCGATTCGTCATGTTAGACTACACCCGGAAGGTGGGAAAAGGAGAGGAGGGTGGCAGGCAGTGGACAGTCTGCGGTGTTGGAGGTCTGCCAGCCTAGGGACGCAACGTTATTCTCGACGCGCAGATGACGGCAATCTCCCGGCTTTGCTGGCACGCTGGCACGCTGACGGCGCATGGATTTGGCGGCACTGCATTCCTCTTGTCGCGGGCCAGGGCGGCAGGCATTCTGGGATTTCTTCCATTTTGGAGATGCGGCGATTCAGCTGCCATCGATAGAGAGACTTGCAATGTCTCAGACCACCTCCTGGCATGTGCAAATATGGAGCTGGGAGCTTGGGAGTCGGCCCCGAGTTGGAGTCGATGTCTGTGTGTCCAAGAGATAGCCCAATGATGATCGGCTGGACAGGGTGATAGGCTCGAACCCCGGGGATCCAAAGTCGTATACCGTCCCTGCTAGCCCGGGATAGGGACCGGGGTAACTCCTGTCCGCTTCTCGGTGAAAGAGGAGACTATCGCGGGGATTTATGTCGCCAGGGTCGCGGCTGACTCGCATTTGAGAGGTAGTGGTTGTTGGCGCAATTGCCAGGCATCGGCGATCACTGCTGACGGGCAGGAAAAAGAAATTGGGCATCAAATAGACTACGAAGCATTCTGCCGGGCCGAAGACAGATATTGAATAAAGCCATGGACGAATGACCTTGACTAAACTATCTGTTCATCTGATCGGCAGACTGACTTTGGCTTCCAGAATCGGGTGAAACAGAGACAGTTCAAAGGTCCCTTTTCGTAAGACCAGCCAGATCATAGATGGCTACTTTACCCTCTTGCGTAACAGTGTGCCGACAGCGACTCGGCTACGGAAATCATCTGAAAAGATGAGGATTATGACCGTATCTGTTTCCAGCAAATTTCTCGCTCTCGCACGAAAGAGGTAGTATTTTAGGACTTTGGGCGTCTCAGCCGCGCTCTCACTGGTGCCGACTACTCACTACGGAGTATGGGAGGGCAGATTCGTTATTGCAGCTCAACCTAGCAAATTCGGCGACGGCGGCCGAGCCGGTGAAGGGAGACCCACCTAAGTTCCTTGTTCTTCGCTCTCGTCGTCGAATCCAGCCTTTCCAGCTTGGCGTTGAAGGACCCTGGTACGCCTGGCAAGTCTGGCAGCCTCTTCGAAGCGTGGATCTGGTAAATCATGCCACTCAATGAATCGCATTGGTTAGAACCTGGCAGGCGAGGGTCTGAGCGTAACCACGCCGTCGGAGGGACGAGCCGGGGGGGGGAAACGGGCAATGAATACTCTGCAACGCCTCTCGACTTGATTTGGACGACCGTCGATACAAAGGCCCGTTTAGCTCCGACGTTTGGCCCGACGATGGCGTGTCTTGCTACGCATTGTTTGTTCTCTTCGTACCATATTCAAGCCACAGCTGCGGCAACGAGAAATAAACTTCAGCCCATTGCCACTAGATGAGCCAGTGACGTTCCCCGCGGAGTGAAGGATCAGCGGCTTTATTGACGGACATGGTGGGATATGGAAAACCTGCTGAGAAGTTTGACAGGTACATCTTTCTGCACTGCAGAGCACGGTCCCAGTGTCAAGCGTGTCACCCGAAGTGCAATACAGATAGACGATGGGCATGCTCAGAAAAGAAGCCTGCCGGGAGCATCAGCACGACTATCCGAACGAATTACAGATAGGAGAGATTTCGAGAGGCACCCGAAGACCGGAACTAGCCCCGCTCATTGCAGGGACTCTGGAAAAGGGCATCACGTCAGCCCGCGGCACGGCTGATAGGTTCATCGTAAAGCGCATTGAAGCATTTGTCCCACTATAGGCACCTCAAAGATGGCCCTTTCTCCCTTCCCCGCTGCCAGTTATAACATTGAACATCAAGTGACTTGACGGTGGAAGGTCCGAGAGCTCAGCATCATCACTGCGATCCTGCACGCCTATCTCACAGGAACGAGTAATATGTTCTATCGAAGCAAACAACACGACGTCGACTTCGATGTTGCAACTTTGCAAGTGGGCTTTGTCGGTGCGCAATGTCCACCAGAAAAGGTTCGTCTCGCGAGCTGGCTCATGAAAGTTGAAAGGGGTCAAAGCCAAACTCCATCCGGACTTCGTTTACCAGACTTTAGCGCCAAGGGTCTGCTTACTACTTTGAGCGTGTTTTTCTGGAGACACGCGGGGCAGTACAGGGCGTCGTTGAAGATCGCTGCATGAGGGTGCCTGCACTCTGACGGCTCCATCAGTACTGAAGAATAATGACAAAC